CCCCAGTTTGGTTATTTACAGCATCTTCCCGGACTGATGTTTTGGCCAGGCTAACTGGAAATAAAGGCAAGTGATTCAGTGAAATATAAATATTTTTCTATCCTCTTTGTTAGCAATATGAAGTATTTAGCTTCCTTTATTGCTTTTTGTAGCGCTATGATCCAGAGTGTATATGGTGTAAACTCTTCAAGTAAAAAGAACTTTTTATCTCTGCACAAATATAACTTTGGCTCAACTAAGATTCCAGGTTCATTTCCAAATGTGCTTTGCCCTGTTAACTCTGCAGGCTGCTTTAGGTCCCATTAGCACTACACTTTGAAAACAGCATAACAAAAAAAAAAAATCAAGTCTAAAAAAACCCCAAAAACTTACACAGCAGCAGATGAAGATACAAGAAACCATCTTCTTACAAAGCAGAATTCCTGGGTGCAGAGATACTGGACATAAATACTTGTTTTGGCATCAGTGAAGGTTTGCAGTGTTAAGAGAAGACATTCCTGCACCAAGCAGCTGTTTAAGACTCACTGATACTCATCAACCAAATCAGATGCTTCTCATGTACGCACTGACTATTGTATTGCAGTAACAATACAGCCTCAATATTTTTAGATCCTACAGTCAGAACAGGTGTAACAAATGTATCATCTGCTCTCTGTGAAACATTCCATGTGATCTAGAATTTAAATTTACATACATAGCTACATGGATAGCTTTGTTATCTAAGTTAAACACTTTTCCCAGCAATTGGAATTGAAATCAAAAGCACAATTCATGACCTACATTATTAAAAAATGCTTTATTTATTACTTTCAGCTTGAGACTTAAGTTACAGCCCTTGTCCTAAAATAAAGTCACCATGGGCTTCATTCCTATCTGGACCATAAAGCAAGACTAAAATTGCACATGTAGCTTTTCACCAAAGCAAATGATAAAACCCATGACATACTACCACTTTTAAATGATGCATTAGCAAAACTACACTCATTCTAACAAGGTTTGTTGGTACACACTAGTAAATTCAAGAAATGTACAGTACCTGGCATGATTTTAAATGTACAGGATGCCAAAGAAAAACAATTGCACTACGTTCACAAACAGTTCATAAAAATACCTATAATATTACTGGTGAACTTTTTGAAAACTTTTCGAAGCTATTATATCCACCATTCTTTTGAAAAGTATTACAGAAGTACTCTGAAATCTTCACATACACTTATTTCATTTTTTTTCTTAATAGTGGCAATCTTCAGAGCTCCTGCTAAGTTTAACTTGGCATTCTTCTCATGCAGAGATCTTCTCCCATGTCAGCCTGCCATATTTTCAGCAGCCTAGAAACAGAAAAAAAAATTATCCCAAGTCACCAAAAGAGACATCATGTAGACTAAATTTAATCTTTTCTTGTAACTTTTTTTAATTACCTAGAGAACTTAGGGGTCTAAAAAAAAAAGCTACTTAGGAAATTTTTTCTAATGAACACTACTATTTTCTAAAAAATAATGCTGTCAACTGCCATTATCCTTTACTAAAAGAGCCACTGCTGTTTACTTGTCTTACATCCTCTATCTGAGCAGTTTTTATATTGTACATTTTACCCTACTACTTTCAAGAAAGGCTCAAATGCATAAATATAGTCACCTTTGGAGTTTACTTCATATAATTTATGGTAATCATTACCTCATCCATATAGATTAGTTATTGACACAAAACTCAGAAGAACGACACTAATCATAACTGCATAAGTCACACTACCAATTATTTGATTAAGAATATTAGTATTTTATCATTGAATAACTGCAGTCAACAAAGCACAGTTGTTGAAGAATGACAGTGGTAGATTTTATACCAGTTATGGGACAAACAGGCAAAGGAGAGCAACAGGAATGGGAAACCAGTGAAAGCAATGGAAGAAGTAAAACATCCCTCAATTATTTAAATACACAGTTAAATGCATATGTAAGCACACATTTATGCCTAGACACCAATACAAAATATGTATGAGCATAGAAAAATGTTAAGTTAAAAATAAAGTATGCAGTCTTCCAGAATAGAAGCAAGATATAGGTTTCCCTGTTCACCTCTCAAAAATAGCCAAATATAAGGTATAGTAGTAAAAATCCTGACTGTGATGTTTAGGTAGACAATAAAGAATGAAAATCCTTTAAAATGCAAGTGAGATTTTTTTTTTTTTTACCACCTACTAGTTAAACAGGGAAATACACACATATGAAAAGCCCTATATATACACACATCATGAAATCCTCTCTTTCTGCTCTTTGGAAAGGTTCAAAGCAACAAGGGGGTAAAAGCAATATGTTAAGATGATGTTAACAAACTGCATGTTACCTGTTTACAAGTACTGCTGCATACTCTTAGATCTGAGGTTGTAGAAATGAGGTGATAATTGTTAAAGCATAAATCTATTTGTGATATTATGCAGGTAAGGGGACAAACGGTGACTATAATAAAAATTTGTGAGTTTTGGTTGTGTTCTTTTTCTTCAGAAGAATAAGTCTATTTTATTCCTATGAAACATGTAATTTGTATCATTTCCTGTTTCATGTACAGTTGTATTCACTGCCTCCTCTATTGAACAGCTAATTTCCTTGATTCAAAAATGAGTCATATCAAAGTACAATCTACAAACTGAAGTATAGCAAGTTGCATGTGCATCTGACTCTTAAAAACAAATTTATAAGCTTTTTAAACTAGAGCATTACCTTTAGAGCTTCTGTGGCCTTACGCAGCTCTTTGATAACAGAAGATAAGGCTTCTGGGTTTATCCCTTGTTCACAAAGCCGCACACAAATAGACAACGTCTCCATATCCAAGCCAGTGTTTAATATTCTTGAAATCTCAAACAGAACTGCAACAGAAAAAAACTGAAAGCACTTTAGTTCCTACAGACTATGAAATTTCAGTGATCAAGATTGTTCTTCATTAACATTTAGATTCTACAGCACTTCTACAGTGTGAACATGGAAAATGTCCATTGCTATTTGCAACAATATTTATGCTCAACCTTCCAACATAAGCTGAAACTACAGCTTCCCTGGTACAGGAAATTTAATACTAGATAATAGGTTTTGAAAAAGTAAAAAAATAAGTGAAAAAGTCAACAATTAACAAGCCTGCCAATTAGGTAAAAGGTAGGCTATAAGAACACTCTGTGCTTTTGGACTCCAGACACTGATGAAGTCCTTTCTAATCTTTAGGTGTTGAGGCAGTGTCTTTGGCAGAGAGATGTAGCAGATTCTCCAAAACAATTCTGAGCTCTTAACAACTTTGCAGACAACAACTGCTAAATGTCTGTATCTATCCTAAATAAAATACATACATAGCTACACAGGAAGCCTGGGGTCCTAAATCTGAAGATTAGTGCACTTTCCATGTCTGTTCTCAAAAGCCTTACTTTGTCATTAAATCTGCCCGTTGTCCCTCCTGTCTAAATCATTCCTGCAGAAGTGGAAAGAGTGAAGTTGTCAAGTACAGTTACCAGAACTTATATTCTTTGTCCTTCCCAAAGAAGTCACTCTCTATCTGCACAAAATGGTTTTACCCTCTTGAAGCATCAGAGGAGCCGTAATGGTCCTGCTAGTCCTGCCTTGACTCCAGCAGCAGGTCAGAGCATGGAGATCAGTGGCTGAAATGCTAATTTTTACACCAGCTCAACTCATGAAGATCTGTATCAAAAAAACCCTTTTGTAACAGCAGCTGTAACTTCAAGAGAAGGGAAGATGCTGAGAAAATAACAAATTCATAGCACATAGCACTATGCCTTGAACATTCTCTCTAGCCTCTTCTCCCTCATTAGGGCATTTTCAGAGAAAGGCTCCACATTTAACAACCCTCAACAGATTGCCTGGCTGCTTTCCACTCTGCACATAAGCTTTTGGTATATGCATTTTGTGGAATTCCAGTTTCACACTACACTGAGAAACAACTCCAAAACATGCCAGCTTTGACTCCTCACGGTCAGGCTGAAAGTGAGCACCCCAACTTCCCTCACCTGCTCACATTTCTCACGGCTCATCAATCTCCAAAATATTTCCCAGTACCCCTTCTCTCACATTCCTATTCCACAACAGTACCTGAATTTGGGGTTTGCTTTTTTTTTCCATATCAGAATCTATTTCAGTTCTGCAGCACTGACTACCGTCCTCAAAGCTTTCGCACTATAGTGTAGTTTGGGTTGTTTTGAGGTTGTTTTTTTGGAGTGCACTTTGGTTTCCTGACAAGACCCGAACGCGGGGTTCAGGTCCGCCCAGGCGCTGCCGCTGACTCCGGCCCGGGCCGCTCCCTCCTCTCGCTCTCTCCCTCTCCCCGCGCACTTCCAGCCCTCCGGCTGAAATCCAGGACGCACCGAGCCAGGTCACGTCACGAACATCAACCCTTACACATAACGGGAAACTAGAGCAAATAAATATACACAGGCACTAAAAAACCCCTCGTATTCTATGCTAAATACCTAACTAATTTTAAAAAATAAAACCACAGAAAGGAAAAGCCACGTCAGGTGCAAAGACACTCGCTCCGCGGAGATTGAGCTGTTTTGAGTAAAACAAAAACTGCCACACGCTGCAACTTTCGGCAGCCTCAACCCGCGCCACGCTTCCCAGGAGAGGTGCCCCTGTGCACGGCCCACGGCGGGGCCGGGCGCTCCCTGTCCCTCGCAGCCCGCGCTGTCCCGGGGCTGTCACGCACCGTCCATGGTCTCCCTCACGGCGTTCAGGCTGGCGGCGTTGCTCGCCATGGCGACCCCGCCGCGCCCGGAACCGGAACGCCGCGAGCGCGCCCGGACCCGCCAGCCCCACGTGACGGCCCGGCGCAGCGCGAGCGCGGCTGGGGCGGGCTTTCTTTGAATTCGTGCGGCGGCGGAGCTGGCGATTGGCCTGTTCGAGAGAGGGGCAGCCCTGCCATTGGTCCGACGGCGCCCGCCGCTCTTCGTGATTGGTCAGAATCCGCAGAGAGGGCGGGGCTGGTTAAAGGGCCGCCCGGCGCGGCGGGGCGGGAGCGGCTTGGCGGCGGCGGCCGGGTAACGGTGCAGGTGGCTGTGCCCGCATCCTCGGCATTCCCGGCTCACCCGGCTTTCCCGGCATCGCCTCCTCGGCGGCGGGGCTTGGGAGGGCGGCGAGCGGCTCGGCGCGGTGGCACCGTCCCGGGGAGAAGCGTGAGGAGGGGCTCAGCGGGGCCGCTTCCCCCGGGGCTCCCGTCCCGTTGGCGGCCGGGGGCGCGGGAGCGGCCGGGGCCGGGGGGCGCCCTGCTGCCCGAGCCCCGCGAGGGCCGGCGCTGCCCCGGCCCGTTGAGGCGGAGGGCGGGCGGTTTTAGCGCCCGGGCAGAGCGGGACCCGCCCGGGGCGTTATCGCTGCCCGGCCGCTGGGGCTGTTTGGTCACCTCTGGTGCTCAGTTCGGGAGTTTTTTTGTTCGTTTGTTGGGTTTTGGGCTTGTTTGCTTGTTGTTTTGCCCTTGTTTGGGTGTTTGCTTGGCTTTTCTTAATCCCTCTTTTTATGTTCTTTCTTAGCTCGTTTTCGTAGTTTCTGTTTGCTTGCGATTGTTCGTACCAGCCTTATTTATGGACTTTATGTCATTAGGTCCAACCCATAGCTAACTTCGTTTTTGAAATGTTGCTAGTGCCTTAAAACGATTATTTCTCTCTGCCCAAAGCCTTCAGGGTGGCCCTAAAACGTCAAAAGCATGATTTCCTTAATTTTCTTGTTTTCCTTAATTTTGCTCTCCCTGTTTTTCAGGTATAGCTTAGTGTTATGGGTGATATAGAAGAAGCTAAAATGCAGATAACACCAGAAACTCCAGGACGAGTCACAATCCTGAATCCTTTTGAAAGTCCCAGTGATTATTACACTCTTCAGGAGCAGATTGTTTCCAGTCCTTCAATCTTTAAGTCAACGAAATCCTCATCTGTAAGATCTAGTTAGTTGTAACTGTACAGATATAGTGCTAATGTTTTCAAAAGCATTCAAAAGGGTGTTTTATTTAGTGTGCTTCAACATATGTACCAAGCTAAAGAACTTTGGTGGCATTTGGAGTTTCTTCTCTTCACAGAACTATGCTGCTTTTAAACACTAATATTGCCACTGACTCTTCCTCCCTGCCTAAATTTATTTTGCCTTTAGATATTAGCAATTGAGTGCTAAAACCAGTAGAAAGTAGAAAAAGACCAGTTCTTGCATGTGGTGCTGTGGTCCTACTTAGAGTGCAGAAAACCAGTTTCTACTTAGATGCTGAGTAGGCTGGTTTTAATTGCACTTATTTTGTGAGCTGTTTGTGTATTCAAGTCAATGATTTTGTGTATCTATAAGTGTTTTTTTTTGTTACAAAATGCATACTGGTTTGCAGTTCAAATTATTTTCTGATAAACAATAGAGGTGAATCTGCTAATGTAAACCAAAAAGACTCACTTGGTAGATAATTTTCCAAATACATTTGAACTGTACTTTGTTAAATAAAGGGGTGAAGCTTCTTATTTCTGAATTGGATTTTGTTGTGTGCTATGTGTGGCATTTATGAGAGAGACATTGCAGAATGTACAGGCGTTGCATCTCTGGTCTTCTTAGAAATGGGAAGTGAAAGGAAGACGGCTCTATTATTTGGAAAACTTGGTTAGGATACTGAGTTTTTGGGGAACCACAGTTTGGATTGAAGAAGCAATTTATGTTCATGCCAAGTTACGTATCTTTAGTAGAGCTGTGTGTCGGAATTGAGAAGAAACTGACACCTCAGTTTGTGAACACCAGCTGTAACCTTCCACTTAATATTATGTTGTTAATCCTTGCAATACCACTACCAGCAGGATAAGCAGCCTGACTGAGTTACTTTTTTTAGAGTAGATAATTTAAATAGAAACAATTTTGATTGTTTTTGACAGAAAATATATGGAAGCTGTGATTGTATTGTTCCATTGAGATTTGCCCTGTGGTTTTATTTTTATCTTTTTAGAACAGCAAGCATTAAGATGCCTGTTTCTTTCTTTAGACCCCAGGAAAATTCAGATGGTCTATTGATCAGCTTGCTCTAATAAATCCTGTGGAAATAGACTCGGAAGACATTCGACGCCAAGGAATGTATTTGAGCCGTGCTAGGTAACTTACAATCTATTTTTATGCAGCTAGCTTAGCTTTAATACTAGAACACTTGTTCTTTTGCTTTATTAACATTTCAGCATAGCATTAAGGACTTTTTATTAAAATCTTTTAGCACAATTTTTTACATGATGTGGATATAATATTTAAATCAGGCTACCTCTGTGTTTCTTCCTTTTAATGTTAAGAGCTGCTGATCCACTCTGATTGCAGTTTGGAAGACAGCCAGATAAAAGCAGCTAGTGGAAGGAAGAAAATGTCTTGCCAGTGATCATTACCAGGCTCCCTCTCTGCTCCTTGTAACAACACAGTTTATCTTCTCAGAATGCTCCATAGTGAGGCTTCTTTGGTCCCTGTGGCTCCTGCAGAAGGGTAGATGTGCTAGGGAAACTAACTGGGGAAACCCCAGCGGTCTCTTTCGAAGGTATAGATTAATGTGAAGGAGGGGGGTTCCAGTGCTAGTTACTTGATGTAGTTTGGGAACCTTATCTCAACTTTTTTCCCTTCTCTGAAAATAACTTGCACGAGGAAAACGGGTGGGTAAAACAGTCTTGGTATTTGGAACTTACCTTGAGGGATAATTTTACATGCCAGTGGTAGAGAATGATGTGCCAAGTGAAAGTAGCCAGGGGGAACCTCAATGGTGAATCCTGTAGACTCTCCTGTACATTTCTCAGATACAAACTTGCAGAAGGAACTGCTCCTCAAGGCATGAAGTGCTGCAGAATAGAATAATGAACCTGTCCTCTCTAGATTGGGTTGCTCAGTCGCATCCACCTTGATCTTGGATGTTTCCAGGGATGGGCATCTACCACCTCTCCAAGCAACCTGTTCCAGTGTTTCAACAACCTCATCATAAAAAATACTGTGAAATAACTTACTGTTTTTAGTGTCTAACTGAACCTACATCTCTCTTTTTGAATAATAAAAGCTGTAGGACTAGTACTGTCACCAGCTTTATCTGAATCACCAGGTCTTCATGTTTCCTGTCCTTCCTCTAGCAGCCAGTAGGTTTCAGACTAATGGTTTTTATACATTTTAAATGTATAAAATGTTTACATGTTTTTAGGGAGTTAATTACATTGTTTCTGGAACCTTACTTGGATAAGCTAGCTTTAATGGAGATTACTTGGGTGACAGTTCCAGTGATGATGAGTGACATGGCCTATAGATTTGAATGTGCATTGTCCCAGTGGGTCCTTTCAGTCTGTCCCAATGTTTCATAATCACTGTGGTTCATTTTTTTTTTTAAATAATCTGCTGTGACTAGAAAGAGGCTAGTTTGACTGTGCGTAGATTTGCTGTGTCCATGCTTGTGTGTTTCAGTGCATACACATGCATGAATCCACAGTGACTGTGTGCTTGGTTTTTTGGTACAATAACTCTGCAAGTGCCTCCATAGATGTGTCATTTTAGCATCATCTAGGCAGATGTAATTGAAGGTGGTATGTCCAAACACTGCAGATATATTCAAAGTCTGATAGGCGTAAAAGAGAGAGCTGTGAGAAGTTATGTATTTGTCACATCTATATGTGCTTGTGTATCTAATAATATCTTGTTATCTGGCTGATTTCTAAAATTATTCAAGGGTAATATGAACTGTGAATGCAAGTATTAGGTGGTTTGGCTAAGAAAATGATGAACATTTACAAGCTTCAAAAAATTTTATAGTAAATTACACTGTAGTAAGTGAAAGTCAGGCTTGAAGGTGACCGTTAGAGGAAATATAAATTTAGAATCTCACACATCATCAAGTAACTACAATATTTTTTTTTAAACTAAGTTAAAAGCTGCATAAGGAAATGTAGTCATTGTTAGAAACTGAAATGTGATACTGAAGAAGCTGTGGCAGACTGGGTATTAGGCTAGAGAGAATTCTGTATTGGGAAATCGGGCTGTGTCAGGAATTTGAGTGTGCAAATTCCAGGAATGTTTTCAGTTGCTCTTTTAATTCCTTACAGATCAGCTTTTTAGTCTGCTTGGTTTTATAGTGCAAGTCTAATCTCATGTGAATTTTCATAGTAAAATACATTTTTTGGAAATTATTTTGGAAGATCAGTTATGATTGAGTTTTTGTCCAGACATGCTGAGTAAACAGAATATTTGCTATTATGTACTTTTAAATGGTACAAATATTTTTCAAGTCAACTGAATTGAGAAGTAATTTATATTTCTAAATTTGTGTATGAGATCATTGCATGTAAGAGTAAAAACATCATAAGATTTAGGGTTTAGTGCAATTTAATTTATAAAGTTCCTCTTGAGCATCTATAAATTATTATATGGCTGGACTTTACATATTTTCCTGCTTATGTGATGGTTTTGATAATTGAGTTGTTTTTCATTTGTTACTTAGAATTGATAAGGAGACAGAAGACAGAAGGCAAAAAGCTATTGAGGAGGTAATAAAACTTCATGCTATCAAATACTGATTTGTCTACAGAAAAGATTCACATCTTTTACAGGATTTCAAAACCCAGAAGCCTATTATATTTCAGTAAGAAAGTAATTTTACATCCTCATCCCTTGCAGTTGTAGCTGGAATCCACACACTCCTTTTCTTCCTCTCTTCTTTCAGACACATGTAGGTCAAACCAAGAGATTTCTTTCTTTTGTTTTTCTTGGCTAGTGGTAATGTTCCTGTAATATAACTCTTATTAACTTCAGGTTAGAAACAATGATTGAGAATTGGGGGCTTACAGTAACAGTTAGAGTGATAGTGCATTTTTTGAAATATTGGAGAATTTGTGTGATTTTTTTTTTTCTTCTTCTAAAGTCTGCTTTGTTGGATGGAAGACTTTATTCTGGTAGCTTGTGTTTTCCCATCCATTTTTCATTTTGCTTTTCACACAGAGAAGGAAAAATGAAGTGTTTAAAATGTTCACTACAGAAATCTTCAATGTTATTTTCAATTAAAAAAAATAAGTCTCTGATAGGCAGGTCTATCAGTTTCTGTCTCTACAAACAAAAAATGTTTTATGATTCCATAAAGGAGCTGTGTAGCTGACCTGCAGCTAAGATTCTCTGCTCTAAATTTGCATTAAAATGGGTATTTTCTCTTTGTGAGATATAACCTAATGGATTATGCAGCTGAACAGCTTGAAACCCTGTCTCTGATAAAAATTATACCTTTAATAGTTGTGTATTTCAAACTGAGGTTTTTTCATTTACTTTGAGTCTTGCATTTATTTGGGAACAGGGTTTGCCATGTATTTCTTGAAGCTTTGTAATAGTGTTTGTCTCGTCAGCATCAGGGTGTTTCCCAGTACAGCTGTGATGGTAGACAGTTTCTGGTTCACAGAAAAAAACTGAACTGCCAGTACTCAAAAGTGTTTCACTACTAACCAGTTTAGCCAAATACACTAACAATAATAATGTTGCCAAAAAAGCCTTGATTTATCACTGTTACTGCAGTGTCTGTCACTTCTGTGAAATAGCTCAGTTGTCAAAATAAAATTTAACAAACTGAACATTTAAAACTAATTCTTTTTAAACTACTATGCAAGAGGCATGGTAGTAACAATTCAATTTTGAAAATGAGTAATTACTGTTAAAAGGAACTTGTGTATAGTTTTCACTCTGCACACTTGAAGGATCTGAGGTGCTATGGGTCATAAAGAACATAGGGGTCTTCAAGTAAAATTGTTTTTTCTTTAATGTCTTTGGGCCTAAAATAACGAAATGTTCTACATTTTTTTTTTCTTGTTCAGGGTACTAGTCTAAATTTAAAGTTGAAAATTTTAAAAAGTGCTGAGATGGTTTGTTTTTATTCTACTCCAGTTTTTCACAAAAAAACTCATAGTTCCTTCTCCTTGGACCGAGCATGAAGGCAAGCAAGTTTCTCAGTTTAATTCAACTAAATGTAAGTTGCTTTTGTGTGTCCACCCAAAATAATACAGCTTTTAGAGAATTTATCAAGCATAACTTTTTTTTTTCAACCTCAGTTTAAATTTTAAGAGCCACTTTAATTTTAAGAATCACTTTAAGGGCAGAGAACATAAGGCATAATCTGAAATCTGGTAAAGTGAATGGTGAAAGAAAATAGTCTAATGTGTTCTTCAGCTGCATAAAAAAAATTGAAGTGTATCTTCACCTTTCTCCAGTCTAGACTGAATGATTTTCTGGAAATGTGTTTTACTTGAACACAGCCTCTTTAGTTTGTTTTAAATCTGTGTCATGTAGAGACAGGAGGAGACAACGTTTTGGGCAATGTTGATGCTACTTCACTAAACTTTTTTTGAATAGAAACATGCTGAAATTCTCTTGATAGCTATAATGGTAACCTTTTCTCAGTACTCCTTTCTAATCTCTTCCAAACATTGATGCAAAAATTTTGTTTGGTTGTATTAAGTATTCTAACTTAATGTTGCTACATTTCAAAACTATGTGCAGTGCATGTTTAAATTTAAGTTCTATGTTTTCCAGCCATAGATATAAATAACATTTCTCCAATTGGAAGACAGCTGAGCTTGCAGCCTGGGAAAAGCAATGGTGAGTAAAAGGCAATGCCTAAACTTACAGGCTTTCTATGAACAAAAAGAACCCATTTTTAATGGATATTAAATTTCAGAAGGAAACTTTTTGTTTGTTAGTGTTACTGTAGAAATAGTTTTTCTTTAATTGTATGGTACTGTTAATTTTAGTATCCATTTCTCATAGAAATTTCATTCTGTTATATTCTGTTGCATTTTTTCAAGTAAAAGTCCACTGTAGATTGTGGAATGCATTTTTTCCAACTCAGTGTCTGTACTTTTTCTGGATTAAAAAGTGAATGTGAGCTTCAGATTTACAAGTAAATTACAGTTTTGAAAAATCTTTAGTATGTTGGATTGTTTTGGGTTAGAGAATCATGATTATTTTCTATGCCAAGTAAATATTAGAAATCTTAATACATCGTTTAAACTGCATCATTTTAGATAAATAGTTACTGTTTTTCCCCAAGGTATTTTTATTTTTCTGCTGCTTTCTTTTGAATTCTTTCTTTCTTCAGAGACCTCTCTTCTCAGTTAACATAAAAGCCTCTAGAGAGGCATTCTTAAAACTCTTGGGTTTTATCTCTAAGCCTAGTGTGCTGCATGCAGTGTTGTACAAATCAGAATTGTACTTTAATTAACACTTTTCCTTATTGCAACTGTAATTGAAATACCTTAATTGCAGTGCAATTTGAAAGTGAATTTTTGTTTCTACAGCTTTTGTAAAAGGTCACTGTAAGCTAATTTTGTTGGTTTTATTCGTTGCAGCTGCTTGTCAGACAGTACTGTCTTTGCCAGTGGATTTTAATTTAGAGAAAATACTAGGTATGTCATGTAATATCTAAATTTAATTATGAATGTCTAAATAGAAAACTTGGTTTTGTATTGTTGGCTGCGTTTGTCTTGTGAAATACTGAAAATGAAATGTGTGAATGAAAGTTCTAAGTATGTATTCTCAATAGACAGTTACTGCATGACTGGAAATGGTTCTGCCTGCAGGTGGTTGAGGGGAGACCTCATTGCCTTCTACAGTTTCCTCGTGAGGGAAGAGAAGGGGCAGGCATTGGTCACTTTTCTCTGGTGACCAGTGACAAGACCTGAGGAAATGGCCTGAAATTGTGTCAGGGGAGGTTTAGGTTGGATATAAGAGGATGGTTGAGCACAGAACAGGCTCCCCAGGGAAGTGGTCACAGCACCAGCCTGACAGAATTAAGAAGCATTTGGCCAATGCTCTCAGGCACATGGTGTGACTCTTGGGAGGTCCTGTGCAGGGCCAGGAGTTGCACTTCAATGATCCCAGTGTGTCCCAACTCAGGATGCTCTGTGATTCTAGATAGCCTGTGCCTCTCCCAAACAGAGCAGTAATTTGTCTTACCAGAGCTGTTTGTACAGGTGCCAGCCAGAGGTCTCAAAGCCCAGCCTTGCCTTGAGTAAAGCTGAGCTGTAACTTTGGCTTTAGTGTACCTGAAATGATGGTGGGGACTAGAAGTTGTGTGGTGGCAAAAAAGCCATGTCTGCTGGGTGAGGAGGCAGGAGTCCAAATTAACTCTCTGATTGTAAGTGCTACATTGACCAATTGTTACCACCTTCTCAGGCAAGGGGGCTGGAAGGGCCTGATCTTACAGCTCATAGGTGGGAACAGTGGGTACAAGCCAGCTCAGCATTTTGCATGCTCTTATCCCAGTGCTGAAATTCAGAACCATGACTGTGGGCCAGCAAAACATATTTATTGCCTTTGTTTTTTGTCTTAACAAATGCTTCCATCAATACGTAGTTTGGGAGTTCATGAAAAATTTCTCCTACAGGGAATATCCAACTAGAATAGAGCAAGAGGAAAAAAATCTAAAATAATCTGGTAAATCTGAGCATAGTTTAATGGGTCTTAAGTTTGTGCTTTCCTACTGTAAACAGCTAACTACTTGTACTTTCTTCAATTCTAATCTGGTTTGCCTCTGGATCTATCATGAAGACCATCAAAGTGTATGGAAGACCTGAAAGAGTCTAGGTTTGCTTGGATAGTAAAATAATCCCAGTTTGACAGCTCAGATGTGAGGAATAATAATACATTTCTGGGGAAAGATCAGTAAGTAGATAGAAGCCAATATTTTGTATTTTTTTCAATTCAGACTTTAGTATTAAGGGATGATAGGCAGAAGTGGAATGACCCTTAGTAGACAGTGGTGACTTTTTGTAGGGATGACAAGCAATCCCTTGGGATAGGTGCCTAAACTGATTAATTAGTTGCTGTATTGGTAAATTAGATTAAATGTTTTAACTTAATTATATATGTCTCTGTAATTGAATGTATTTTTTTCTACATTAGTATTGGAAACAATTTTTTCCCCACATTTCTAGGTGAATATTTTAGAACTGATGAATTTGCCGATCAGTCTCAGGAAAATCTAAGCTCTTCATCACTCAGAAGAAAGCTGTTTTTAGAAGAAAATGGGAATGTATCTGCATGTTTGTCCCCTTCTTTGCATAGTCCATGTGGTAGTCAGCCACTCGGAGTGCTTTGTTCCATAGAACTATCTCCAGTCCGGTGCAGAAGCCCCCTGGACACATCTAGTTCAGTAAGTAGCCTGTTTTGTAGGCTGGGTGCGATGTACTTTATGAGAGAGTAGGAGTTAGACTAAAACTTTGGGTTTTTTATTTGGGTTTTTTTTCAAATTCTGGAAAAAATGTGAACAAAAGTCTTGAAAGAATATATTACTGACATTATTTCAAATTATTTTGTTATGCTGCTATTCTTTTGTATTGGGAATTAGGTTTTAATTTTGTTATGAAAAGGGAGAAGGAATTAAAACATACAAAAGACTTGCTGAAAGCATGTTAAAACCTTTTTTTTTCCCATAAAATGTGTCTACAAAAAAAGTCCTGTTTAAATCCATGAATTGCTACCTACAATAACAGTTGATATGAACCTGTGGTATGATTATATTTCCTTTAAATCTCATAAGCTCATTTATAGTGAAAGAAATGACTTGTGGATCTTTGAAGTGCAGTGCTAAATATGCCTTTTTCTTTCCTATTGGCCAGAGTTTTCAGATGAATAGACATTTATTAGAACACAGAATGAAATGTCCATTTTTTAAATTAAACAAGATGAACCTTATCCCCATGTGGACATAGCTAAAGTGGTTTAGGTGATGTATTTTCATCTGTGTGGTTGTTCGAAGTGCATAGAAAAAACCTACCTACACTAGGATAGTGTAGCTTAAAAACAAAGGTAACCTAGTAAAGAATTCCTACAATATAATTATAGTGCCAGAAGTGATGGTTGGGTGAGGGGGTGGGTTTGGTCTGGGTTTTTTTGTTGTTGTTGTTGTTGTGTTTTGGTTTTTTTTCTTGGGGTTTTTTTTTGTTTATTTGCATGATAGTCTTAAGTAAGGTCCTTCTCTTAAAGAGAAACACTTCTGTAGCTACTGCTGAATTAAGTAAATTGTATTATAGTAAAATATAAATAGTGGCTTTCATCTGCAGTGATATGAGTAAGAAATTTAGATTAAACACTTGACTAGATACATGGATAGCATTAATTCTCTGTTTACATTTCTCATAGTTCTTAAGTATAGTGGATGAAATAGTCCTAGCTGGTATTAGGTGACCGTTTGTGTCCATTGCTCTTTTCCCCTGTGTGGAGGCATAAGGTCCAGGTGCAGAGCTACAATTGGAGTATTTAAGCTAAACTAGAGACTGTCATTGTAAAGGGTTGGTCTTTCGCAGTGCTGCCGTATTAAGCATTTCGGTTAGAACAATTTTATGTATATATATTAGCCACAGCTTACTTTATGAAAATAATGCTCTGTGGGTTTGATTATTTTTTTATTCTGAAGGGTCAGTTTTCATCAAGTCCTATTCAGGGAGGAACAAGAGCTTATAGTCTGGGAAGTATAACCAGTCCCCCATTTTCAGAGGGGTCTCCTGCACCTAATGGTTCTCCAGCTTTTTCACCAATTGCTTTTCACATAAGAAAAACACCACTCTCAGGTATGGTTTAATTGTATATGTATTAGTCTATCTTGAGTAATACATTTTTATTATAAAAACTTCTAAATTCTTATTGGAACGTTTTTCTGTTTGGAGATGAGTTTCTGTGCTTGGCAGACCAGTGGTCTGCTGTATAACACATCTTCTGTTCAGCAGTGAAATATGTGAAACAATGAAACATATATGCTTGCAACTGATCAACTAGAGAAAATATTTCAGAAGGCATTGAGACACAATAAGAATGAAGAAAAGTTAAAAGGGTTAATTTAATCTAGTGTAGGAGGGGTTTTAAAGCCACCTGCCTGAATTTAGTCAGGTTACAATTCTGATTTGGCCCAGCCTGAAGCATTTTAATATCAGTGGGCAAAGAATGTTCAGCTTGAGCTTTCAAATAATCCATCATGAAGATTATTTGAAATTAAATGACTAATGAAGAAATCACAAACACTTTATGTCCTCATTGCTCTAGAAAATGTCACTGTTTCATGCTGTGTCCTTACCTGGTAAGGCATAAGCCTTGTTTATACATGATTATACAGATTTGGCATGATTATACATATTTATACATGACTTTTACACATTTTGATTAATGGTGTTTTACACTATTTTATATGGAGGTTGCACAGATGTTTTCTCACTTGTTTGATCTTAAACTTCATTGCTGCCAAAAATTTAAATACCTATAGATTGTGTATCGACATTCATTTAGGAAAAAAACGAATGGGGGACAGACGGACTACACTAAACCAGCCTTCACCCATTTCCCTTTGAATACTGTTTAGTAATGACATTTAAAAATACAAGGTCTCCAATGCAGCAAATCATGTCAAAGAAAAGAAATTTGGAGGGATAAAACCTTGCCTTTACCATGGTAGCTGAAATGTATGGGTGGTGGGTTTGGTTTTTGGGATTGCTTGTTTGGTTGGGTTGGGAGGCAACAGTCAGTGAAATACTCTGTAGTTGGCCATAAATTATTCAGTGGACTGCAGGGCCTTGAGAATGATGAGTTTTTCTATCACATACCAGCTGAAGTTAAACTTTGCTCTTTTTTTTCAGACCAAAGAAAATTTACATTTCGTTCTCCGGATATTCCTTCTTCCTCAAATAGAATGACACCCCCAAGTACAAGAAGTCCTTACATAGATGGTTGTTCTCCAATTAAAAATTGCTCTCCTATGAGACTTGGAGCCTGTAGAGGAACTGCCCAATATCAGACTTCTGTCATTAGAATACCAATTGCAGTTGAGAATCATGAGGATGAGGAAGACAAGGAAAACACTTCTCCAGCAGAAGCTCGGTTCCCAGAAATGGATAAAGGAATAAACCTACATCAGGAAGACAGTGATACTTTTGCACATGGTACACATCTTGTGGTGGCAACTGTATCTATTGCACCAGATCACTCAGAAGGTTGTCATCAAAGGTTGCCATCATTTCAGGATATAGAAGGCTTAAAGGAAAATAATACCGTAGACATGGCTGATGCAGCTGAAGTGTCAGAGGAAAACACCTGGATGAAAGAAACAATTGGCAGTAGCAATGCACCAATGACCAGCTTTATGACAGGCATTACTTTCAGTATTGAAAGCTCTCGCATGTGCATGTCACCTCTTGCAGAAAGCAGTGCAATTCCTTGTGACAACAGTAGTATTCAGGTAAAAATATAATTTTTGGCTTCTCTGCAAAACTGAGCTCAACATATGTATACTAATCTGGAAGTAATTGTTATTTTCTCTTATTGGATGTGGCATCCAGGTGGTATTGTGACTTTTATCCCTTCCCTTTATCCCCTCTTTTGGAGGAGTTAGCGTAGCAATTATTTTTGTGTTGCTGTGTACATTAGTATATTTAACTTGATCCAAACGAATGCTGACAGATCTGTTTACAATTTGCTTTTGTTACTAACTGGTCATAGTTGGTTTGTTGGATTAAGTTCTGTTAATCAAATGCAAATCATACCAGGTATCTGAGGGATTTATTTGTGTTAAATGACAGTACATTTTTCAAGCCCTGCTCTTTGATTTCAGGTGGACAGTGGTTACAATACACAGACTTGTGGAAATAGCATTATGGATACTGCAGGGGCTGAAAACAGTTGCAGAGAGAATGATGTGAACACTATTGTGTTTCAGAATAAATCTCAGCTGCTTAGAACAAAGGTAGGAATTGTGGTTAAAAAATTATAAGCTTCTCATCTAAAGCATTCATTCCTCATTTTATTTGGTTTCAGGGAGCCTGAGGGGAGAGACTGTCAGATAATGAAGATGTTAATGTAGTGTCAGTTCAGAGACTATATTGAATAAATGTACGACAAATATCTTAAACTGGCAAAAAAATTAATGTTTTATGATAAAAGCAAAGGCTGTTTTGAAGGAAACTGAGGTATATGCATGAAGAGTAGTGGTGAGGCTGTTCATGACTATTGCAGTCTTTAATTTTTGTTTCTTCTGTTCTTGCTGCTTCATTTATTGCTAAGTTTTAAACATTTGTCTGTGGAGAAGGACATTTCTGGAGAAAAATTGTCTGCTGCTAATTTTTATAAACTTAGCATTGAGTTCTAGACCATACCTGGCATGCTGACGTGGTGGAGAACTTTCTGCATGGGTACAGTCTTTATACAAGCCCTTTGCGGATCTATCTGAAAAACACATTACAAATGATAATACGTATCTAGCAAAGCTCCCAACCCCTTAATCTTGTGACTGATAGGAAAAAGTTCTACTTCTTCCAGAGACTTGGAAGCAGGGCTAGTTTCTATGGAGAAGAGAGAAGATCATCTCCTCTCAGTAATTATGGTCACGTGATGCTACACACTTAGTAGTTTATGGTCTGCTGTGTCTTGCATGTCCTTCAAGGGGAGGGAGACAGTACTGACCATTAGTACCAGATTATAAAAAAAACTCAAACCCATTCAGCCCTGACTTCTCTTCTGGATGTGACATGCTAAAAGCCACTTCTTTGCCAAGGGGAAATGCTGACTGATGGTGTCTTACAGACCACTGATACCGAATTTTAAACTTTTCATTTAAGACAAGGACAAATGCACCCTTACAAGAACAATAGATATTTTGTCATTAACTTCTAAAAATACTCATCGAAGTTCCTGCCCCGATCACTCTGTTGGACATGGATTTTATGTGTGCATGTACTTGCCAGAATCACTTGTCTGGTATCAAACCCGTCCTAGAAGGACTTGCCAATGTCATGCAGCTGCCTTTTCCCACTGTTAGTCCTTGAACTGCTGGGTCCTGACTAAGCCAAATTTTGCATTTTAGATTAGGAGTAAAGTGTGAAGGCATTAAGTGCTTCATTCAGTTCTTACAACTGAGAATCCCCAGGGAACGAAAAGAAAAAAGCACAGACATTGCTGGCTGAAAGATTCAAGTCAGGCTCGTTCAGACATTCACTGAACTCTTGAAATGAGGTAGTTCTTGCAGACAGCATGTTTCAAAGATCTGTGTAGAGAAGATGTGTTACTTCACTTCTTTCTCATTTCAGAAGCGTAGAGTTGGTACTTAAGGTACTTACTATACTTGAGATTTGCAGTTAGTGATCTTGGATCTTGTTTCTTTTGGAGAATTTCTGTTAAAACGGTTTTAAAACTAACTTTTTCTTATTCACCTAGGAGTGTTCTGTTTTAAGCCATAAGGACAATCAGTTGCTGAGAACAAAGTCTCCAGAGAAGCAATCCTGTTTTCAAAAAGCCAAAACACATAGCACAGTATTTGGTCAAAATGCAACTTGCAACATTTCTGCTTGGAAACATAAAAATGAAAATCAAGTTCAGGGATTTCACAAAAGTGGTATGTAGTTTTCTGATGGAGAACTTAATCTGTGGTTTCTAATAAATTTTTATACATATGACCTCAATTACCTGGATTATATATACTATTTTGCTTTTCTAATGCAAATGTAATGAACTGTTTGGTATATATTAAGGGAGTTTTTAAATAATGTGGGATTTTTCAGGTCTTATTAAGAAATTGATTGGTGTCATTAAGTGATCCTTTTTGAAAATTAAAGTGTCTAGATTTGGTACAAAGAAACAACAGGGTTTTTTTTCAGAATTGTATTCCTTCTGTGACTAGGGTGGATTCCATGAGCAGCCTAGGATAACTTGCATAGGAACCAATATAACTGCAAAATCACTTACATTTTAAGATTTGTCCCTCCTAATGGCATGAGGGGCATTTTTCTTTGTGGGAAAGAAAAAGTGGAATGGGTATTAGTTTGGTTTTGGATTGCTTTTCTCCAACCAGATATATGGTGTGGCTTCATAAATACTACCACTAGTACCAAGAGTAAGTCACTGGATAGAAGTGAACTGCTGGGGTGTGATGAGAGCAAATGCCAAGTTTAGTTCTCCTAGAAATATAAAATGAGCTTTATGTTAGAAGAAGGTGTTTAGCAGTTCTCTGAACAGCTTTTTCCTTGGTTTGACAGAAATCTGTAATGTTAGTTGGGTTTAAGTAAAATGTATTATTGGTTACCTTAAAATTAAAAGATAGTGTTGTTGCTTTGGTAATTGTATTAGTACTAAACTTGGAGTTGATCACCTGACACTACCAGTGTCTCTGAAGAACAACTGTGTCCAAATTGATGCCCTGGTACTCTTTGGAAGGAACCTAAGAAGGTGTAATAAGATTCATTGGTCTCAGTACTATCACTAAGAAAATGGTGCAGCCTTTCTTCATTCCTAGTATTATTATGTTGCTTACAGAAATTACCAAAATACTTAGATAAAGCCTTAAAAAAATAATTAACTTTTGCATGCCATTTATTGCCAAAAAGCAAACCTTTGATCCTTTCAAGAAAACCATCAGTTAATTAAAATAATGTGGATTATGGGGCGTGGGGGGGTGTCAGAAGCCCAGAGCTCCCTTTGTGTAATCAAATCAGATTTAGTTGAATTTGCTTGTATTTGTTTAAAAGAACCTTCTGGAATTTATAAATGTGAATAGGGGGGAAAATCCAGATGGTAATCTTGTGGCCCTAATGACCAAGAGGGAAAGAAGAGATAAGGGATACACTGGTATTTCAGGGCTCTGTTTATGTAGAGCTCTGGTAAACTTAATTGGATTAATGAAAAAGAGAAGTCCATTCTACCAGTGTTCCAGGTGAAGCAGTATTCCTCTCTTTTCACAGCAAGGATGTCCCAGGATACTGAATTTAAGTTCTGCTTTCTGTTCTATGCCACAACCCACAGAAAAGCTTGTACCAAAGTGAGAGATGGTGGCTGATGAGCAGCTATTGGCACAATAAGCCTGAAACCTATTGGTCAGATCTAAATTTGAAGGCAAAATAGCATTTTTAAAAAATCTCAAAAGGGAAGGTGTGAACAGAATCCTTTGGCATTAAAATCAGTGTAGTAGACCTGAGAGTTGTGTGGTGTTTGAACGGAACAGTTCTTGAAATACTTTCATTAATAATTTCCTAGTGAAGGCTTTCTGAAAAGCCTATTTAAGAAAAAGGGAAACATCTGTCTGCATCACTTGACTGTAGTTCTCACATTGCAAAAATAAATACTAAAAAGTTTATTTTAGAAATCTAATGAGCAAACGTGTATTATTTTTACTTCTGTAGTTGTTTCTGTAATGCATGTGGGATTGACAGTAATGGAATCTAGTGTCATATATTAGCTGTTTCATTATCTTCAAACAGTGCTCTACTGGAAGCTGGAAATACACTGAATTAATAACAGTTAAGGAATTAATTTTGTTAAAAGTAGGAGATCAACTTCTGGAAAACAAATTTTATAGAATAGGGCCTTCAAAATGTTTTAGCTTTAGCTTCTAAGTTTTGTCACTCAAAAGCACGATACAACTTGTCTGAGATTTAAAAGTTACGTATGACCTTGTGTCAGTTCTGTTTCTCATGATAATTTTAACAACAATCAATTGAAAGTTCTGTACAAAGGATTTATTTTTGCAATTGTGATTACTAAAATAGTAATGTAAATTTAATGAACATTAAGGAGGGTAGCCCAAATTATGTGTTTATGAATTTTTCTGAGTTACATGTATAATTTAAGATTTGGTTTTACTTTTTAACTAAGTTTTTTGATTATTTTCATAATATGTTAAATGATCAGAGGCTTTTGAAGTATTCACAAGTAAAAAAAGCAATCCCTAAAGTATTTAATTTTATCCTGTATTAGTATTTTCTTAAAGCTAAGAAAAGAATAAGAGCAGAAATGGATGAATCTGAGAAGTGATTAAGGATGCCCCCACCTGGATTGCCTGTATTTTTTGTCCTGTTTTGTAGTGTTCAGTTAGATGGGAAATATTTATTTTATGGAAACATGCCTATTTTTTTATTATGTTTGTATGATTGATTTGTAGAAGAAACCTGCTGTGCAAATTACCATGGAAATCACTTGACCATTCTGTTTCTGTAGTAGTTCTTCATGCATTGGTTGGCACACATTGCACAAAACGGTCATTGTTTACATTAACTTAATATCAGTAGTTTTAACGAGAGTCATTTAACATGTCTAATTGTAAATTGAATAGTGAAACAGAATAAAGACATTTCTTTAATACCTCTGTTGTTCAATTACTTCTTTCAGTTCTGAGGTGCTAAAGAGAATGCACAGAAATGCTGACTTCTATCAAACTCTCAAACCTTCCTTAAGACTATTAACAAGAAACTCTACAATCATTTCTTCACTTTGCAGAAATATTTATTTTCACCCACAGGACAAAGGTGTAGATATACATGATTTTAAAATTTGTTCTGCATTCATAGTCATAAAAAAAGTAGCTTTTAAAAAATTCTTTACAGATTATTAAAATGTGTATTTAAAAAGTAAACAAAACCTGTTTCTAGCATTTTTTTGCCCATAGGGAAAAATATGTAAATACAGGTACTTGTGATTTCTTCTTAACTTTTACATCCAGCTATTTTTGTAGCTTCTTTTTCTTTTTCTCTGGTTCATCCTTGCTGCTTGCCTCTGCAGAGAGACTTGCACGCATATCATTTCCCAATATCTACAGTAAGAAAAAAACAGAAGTCAGAACATTTTTGTTCAATTTTTGCTATCCTAGTAAAACTTGAGTTTACTTGTAGAGACCTTTTACAAACATTGTGTCAACATCAGAAACTTCTGATTTAGATAATCACCTAAAAGAGTGTTTACCATCTTAGAACAATCATAGGTAGAACACTCACCTGAAATAAAAGCTGAAAAAGGCAAAGAGAAGCAACAGCACCCCTCCTGCCAAAGCCAGCAGGTTGTTAGCACCCCAACCATCAGCCTGCATTAGCCTTACTCTGTCTGTTTTCAAAGTGTCCTTCAGACTGGAGTGATGGCCTCAACAGAAGCTCTTGACAAGCTAAAGTTGGTGAGCACAAGCAGAGGGCAGCTCAGGATCTGAATGCACAACCGAACACACAGGCTCCTCCTCTCTGCTACAGTTTTTGTATTGTCTAGTCCCCATTTTTGAAATCACAGATTCACCTCAACCCAGGGTGAGGGATGGACAGATCAGAGCAGCCTTGCTGGGAAGGACTTGGAGGTGCTGGTGGATGAAAGGCTGAACATGGCCCAGCAGAGTGCACTCACAGTCCAGAAAAGTCAAATGTGTCCTGGGTCACAACCAAAGCAGCATGGCCACCAGGGATAGGGAGGGGATTCTGACCCCACCCTGCAGTGCTGCATCCAGCTCTGGGGTCCCAGCATTATAAAGAGAGAATTTTTATATTGTGGGAGTTGTAAGACAGAACTGCCATTTACACCCAGCAATTATACAGAGCTGAGCCACCCAATCACTGTTACATTGTAGTTCACTGCAGTAAAGAGAACATCCTACTGAACTGTGGCAGATTTTCAGAGGGACATTTGATTACAGAATTGTGAAATTCAATACATTACTTCAGCAAATCATCATAATTCCCAACAGTGGAAACATCCTGATGGGCCCAGAACAGAAGTTTAATTTAGAGGGCTCTATTCTTTTCAACAGCCAGTGAAGGCAGACCTGTGTTTTATTGAGAGTGGATATGAAGCAATCATTACAAGCTGCTGCTAAATTATGTTTTTTCTTCTGGGTTAAATTTCAATTTTACCACATGATGATTTTTTAACATTACTGAAGGATAATATGGTTCTAAGAATTTTGTGCCTTACCTTGGGTTCTACCAAGACCATCCGCATTTTCTGATGTTGGACGTTGGAATCATCTAACATAATGTTCACTTTAACTTTATCAAATACACGTAATGTTGTGTCTTCCACAGTAAGTGATGGCACCTGAAAGTTCAATTTTTTTATAAATTTAACTATTTGCAACAGCTTATGTTTTTATACAAATAAATATCTTTGTATGAAAATAGCACTGTTACATGTAAATAAAATAAACCAAAAATTACTATAGTGAATATTCAGTGTTGTAGTATGGGATACATGCATTTTCTGCAGTGACTAATCAGATAATTAGATGTCAGTACTATCTACTATAGAAACAAATTCCTGTCAGAACCTACTTATTTAGACTTACAAAGACTAAAGTGGCATTACTACTAGAGATTAATGAACTTGCATTTAGAAGAGCCTCTCTTACCCTTCTATATCCAGCTAGAATAGAGTTTAGTCATTCTGCTTGCTTACCAAATCAAAAAATAAAGGTGTTTAAGAACAAACCTTAAGAATAATAGTAAGAACATACCTCACTGTTGTACTCCAGTTTTGGTGTTGGTTTATCTTTTTCTTCAAAGAAGACTGTTCCTTCTAACCCATACTTGGGAATCAGAACCACAATTGCATTTTTTCTTACAAATAATATATATGCATCTTCATTTACTACTCCCTTGGTTTTGAAGAACAGCTGTAACAAAAGCAGAACACATGAATAAGAAAAAAAAGCACTAGAACATTCCTTCCGAATTACAAATACACTACCTCAGAAAATTAAAACATTCAAATACACATCTATACTTAGTGAAAATTGCACAGCATATCCTGAAAGCAGCTTTTAAAAAAATCTCATAAACCATTTATAACATTACTGTAGGGTTAAGCATTCATCTTTATAAAAGCACAAAACTAAAAGAATCCTCAAGATGCTATTCTGAGTTTTTCAGAACAAGCAAAAAATAATGTTTTAAGCTTTTTGTCAGAAGCATCCCTCAGCCTTTATCATTTATACACTCTTGCTTGGTTTTGCCCTAGCAGTGTCCATAGTTCAACATAACATCTCAGAACTACTTACCTGCGTATGGAATGCCACAGAGGCTCTTTGTGCATATTGTGCCATTTTATGTCGGTAATTGAGATTTTTACACATCTCTGCCAGTTTGTGTTTATCTGTGAGTTCTGGGTAAGTACTGTCTGCTCCTATGGCCACTGCCAAAAGCCGATGCACTATGATATCAGCATACCTGCAAGGATGAGGTTAAAATCAGTGACATAGTGAGACACAGTTTTTCAAAATTAATAAAAAAGTTCCTGAAAATACATTTGTTTTTGTGAATCTTACAGATTTGAGTTTTTGTAATAATGATGGTCCTCAGGCAACTCCCTGTATTAATTCAGCATTCATCTCTTTGCTGACCAAAGATGCACTGCAGAGCCAGAATACTGTTACAATATTTGCTAAGATAAATTCTTTATTGTGCCAGAAAAAGAAACAACACTGCATTTTTGGACTAAAGAGTGATCTTTCACCATGGCATTTTATGCCAATCCTTCTCCCCTTTCCCATGAAATTAGACAAATTTAGTGTAGAATAGCATTTCAATGCCATAGATCTGCAAAGCATAATCACATTTGAACTTGTGATGTAACTTATTAGAATTTCGGCAAGGAACATTTTAATACATCTGGTACTTCAGCGAGGAACTTTTTAATACATCTGGTAAGAACTAAAATTTACCATTTGGACTTCTACAAGTTCTACAAAGTATCCATATAAATGCCTAGAAATTTTAATCCACATCCAAGAGATTTCACTTGAAATGTTTCTAAGGAGCATGATAACAATTATTTTCTTCAAAACTCAGTGACTTCTTGGTCAGACTAAAAAAGTAACATACTTTTCCAAGAAGTATGATTTCATTGCATGCAACAGCTGCCAATAGCAAGTTCCCAGCTACCAGTGTTTTCATATGGAAAATTCAGTCTCCTAAAAATTTAAACAGTTCCTATCTCAAAAATGACTGAGCAACTCCACCTCAGTCTCTGGCTAAGACTACTGCTGACTGACCCCCAAGTGCGTTTCTATGCCAGACATGTGCATTAGAGATGTATTCCTATTGTATTTTTTAAAAAATGTTACTAAACCCTAGGAGTTGTGGGCTGTAAACCTGGGAGTGAACATAAAGATGGACTGCCACATAAACCACTGCTGTTTCAACTGAAATCTAATGCTGAACAGAAACTTTTTTTTTAATGGAAAACATCACCATTTCTTCACAAATAAATCACTTATTTCTTTTCTCTGAAACTTTTGTAAAATACAAGTACCTTCTAATAGGCGAGGTAAAGTGAGTATAAATAGGTGAAGCCAAACCATAGTGATGAAAGTCATTATCCATTCCCGAGCAGAAATAAACAGCTTGCATCATGCAGCGAGTGGCCAAAATTCGCAGCAGTGTGTTTAGGTAGGGGAATGTGGGAGATTCAGCTTTGTCTAATGATTCAGCTAAAGCTTTTGCTGAATCTGTCTTAATTTCCAAATTCTGAAAGGAGAGAAAAAAAAGAAACAAAAAAGGTCAAGTATTACTAGCAAATATTAAGAATATAAAGAGAAATGTAACAGCTAAATCTAGGATAATCTTAGCAACTGGCAAAGGTATAGCACCTAATAACATGATGGAATGCTAGTACTACAAAGCAAACAAACAAAATCCATCCATGCACAGGTCCCTCCCTCATTATTACTAATGCACAATGCAAAATCAAAATGCTGAGTCAGTAGCCTAGAATTCAGAAAAGACAACTATTCTGAACTAAGAAATACTTTATGCCAGTATTAATGAGGTTTTATTTCCTTTGGTTTTATTCTTTTATCCCTTTATTAAATCAGAAAGAATGTAAAAAAAAACCCATGTATTTATGCCACACAAAGATTTTCATCCAAGCACAAGGTAAGTAATTGACTTTATGGTATTTCCTCTGCAATATTATTATAATGTACAGTTGGAAAAGTAAAATGTAAAACTAGTACTGTGTATGACATTTTTTCCCTGTTTGCCAGTGCTCTCTGATAAAATTCAGGTAATGTGAAAATATATAGTGCATTTTTAACTTCCAGAAACACCAGGTAAATTTCATCACATGATCAGCTGAATGCTCTTTCCATCACATACAGCACTGACAATTAAGTATGATCCAGAGATCAAATGATGCCTGTATTATGTTAAGATAATTGCATTTTTATTAAAAAATGTATAAATACTAAACTAGTATATATAGTATATTTAGTATAAATACTAAAAAAGCATATTAATTCCTAATTGTGATGGTTGTGTCAAAAGTAGTAAAAAAGCCACCTTGGTTTAGTGGTAAACATTAAAAAAATGTTTACCTATGCACAGGAATTTAGCTTTCCAAATAAAACAGTACTAAGAAATAATCTTCAGAACACAAATTAAATCATTATCATTATTCCAATTTTACAGCAGTGGAAAATTCAATGGGCTAGGTTTAAATTTGTCTATTTATGTCATACCAAGAGAATCTGGAAGT